TGTTACAACAAGCAAACGGAAAGGACATTCTTGGGTGGGAGGGGGGAGAGGGAGGAGGGAGGGAGGTTTCGGTGATGGGCCATAATAATCAACCACATTGTATATTGACAAAATAAAATTTAAAAATAAAATAAAATAAATAAATAAGTAAAAATTTATTTCTTTGTGAAAAAAAAAAAGAATGAAATACTGCCATTTGCAACAACATGGACGGACCTTGAGAGAATTATATTAAGTGAAACGAGTCAGGCAGAGAAAAAGAAATACCACATGTTCTCACTTATTGGTGGGAGCTAAAAATAAATAAATAAATTCACTCACACACACACACACACACACACAAATCGGGGGGGGGAGAAGATATAACAACTACAATTTTTTTGAAGGTGTTACAACAAGCAAACGGAAAGGACATTCTTGGGTGGGAGGGGGGAGAGGGAGGAGGGAGGGAGGTTTCGGTGATGGGCCATAATAATCAACCACATTGTATATTGACAAAATAAAAAAAAAATTAAAAAATATTGTTTCAATTCTCTGTCTCTCTCTGTGTCTGTCTTTCTATCTATCAATCTCTCTCTGAGACTATAGGGTGGTCTAAACCCTTGGCATGATTCAAGAGAACATTTGTACCATGGGACTAATAAGTGAATAGCACCCCAGGAATTGTGCTCTGCAGCAGGCCTTGGTCCAGCACTGGCTGAATTCCTTTCACAGTGTAGTGTGGTGAAGTTTGCAGAGCACACAGAGAGGAATAGTCCCCAGCTTGCCTTGGGTCCAGAAAAAAAGAATCTCAGTCTAAAAAAGGAAAACAATGAACAAGCACTGGACCAGATGGATCATTGCATTCATGGCCTTTTCTTTCCCATTCTGTCACAGACTTTGCAAATGGGCATCAAACACTTCTCTGGACTTTTTGTGCTGCTGTGTATTGGATTTGGTCTGTCTATCTTGACCACCATTGGTGAGCACATAGTGTACAGGCTGCTGCTACCACGAATCAGAAACAAATCTAAGCTGCAGTACTGGCTCCACACCAGTCAGGTAAGTGCCACAGGTGTCTTGCTCCAATATTCCTATACTTCAGAATTCCCAGTGATGAGAGGATCCAGAGCCCTATGTCAGACTAACAAATGATAAGGGACCAAGAGAACGAGAGTGATGTAGGCATTCTCAATATAGATGCCCCAGACTTAAGTTTTTGACTCATTTTTAGCTACTGTACAAGGCCTTTTGGTACACATTTGTTGTGACTGTGCTTCTTTATATTATACACTGTTTTACAATCCAGAGCATTTCTAAGCTTTCCTTTTTTCTCCAGGTAGAATAATAACCTATAAATAGAATTCTTGTTCTCTTGAGATTTGGTACTGAATGTTGATCTATTTTCAGGTAACCCTGAAATTCGTTTAAAAAGGCCAAGGTTTGGAGCAACTAGATACACCATTAAATCTCAAGCAGTATTTTGTCCCCTGACCTATGTATTTTTAATGATCTCTACCCGTGACTCTTTTTTTTCCACCAGAGATTACATAGAGCACTAAACACATCATTTGTAGAGGAAAAGCAGCAGCGTTTCAAAACCAAACGTGTGGAAAAGAGGTAAGAATTACAAGGCCAATTCCAGCTGTCTTTGTACCTGCTAAAATAAAAGTTTAGAAATATAGATGAGATTCCATTTTCAAAGGGAAATTATGTATAAATAATTCAGATCAAATCAGGACAAGTTGTTGATAACCAAAATCAATATAAATACTTGTGATTTTGGATAAACAGAAATAAAACAAATAAAATAAATATATATACATATACAGATACTGAAATGCAGTATAGGCAATATATTATCATGGTGAAAGAAAAGCACCTGGATCCAAGTCCTGTCTCCAACACTTACAATATGTGTGACTTTGGGCAAGTTATTTCACCTCTCAGTGTCTCAGGTTCCTCATCTGTGAAACTGAGATAAAAACAGTACGTACTTCCCAGAGTTGTTATAAAGATTAAATGAGATAATACACGTAAAGCCCTGAAAACAAAGTGAATGCCTAATAAATATTAGCTACTATTATGTACAAAATGCACATAAGACTTTATTCATGAGTACTACAGGCAATTATTTTCATGGGATATTATCTTTTTGACATGTTTCCACTCCCCACCCCTTTCCAGCACTCCTAGCAATATTTAAAATATGCAACGGACATGTCCTGCCTAATCCGTTTCCTGGCATTCTCCAAACTTCATAGAAAAGAGTATCTCATTAATAGGAAGTAACGAGCATTAAATGCATTGAGGTCATTAGAAAACTGAAGCTCTGCACCTTCACCACAGCCAGACTGTGGATGACTGTTGCCTCATTCATGGTGACTAAAGATGTCACAAGCATTTGGGTCTGGTTCCTGGTGGCCTCTGTTGCCTGCTGCCTAAGGCAGCCCTCCTAGTTCTCTCATACTCCCAGAGGCCTCAGATAAGGGCATCAGCTCCAAGCAACTCGGTCAGCTATGGCATATGCTCAACTCAAAGCTTGGCTTTCTGCATTGTTTTGAAATCTGACACTCACACCTCTCATTCATAAGAAAAAGGGACGGAAAACATAATTCCTTTTCATTGTATCTCCTCTGGGGCTACTGCAACTCCCTTCTTTCCAGTTTGCATAGGGGTTGTCAGAATCATTTTCACTATCTCTTAAAGTCTCTCTTTCAGTCAATGAGCCCTGCCGCCCCCACCCCCCCCCACCCCTTCTCAGTCTGCAGTATTTCTATATCGTATTGTAAATCTGTTAGTGACAAGCTATAGACTAATCAGGTCACAGCTGTTCCATGTCATGTTACATATATATTTTTGGTAATTATTTTTAACAAAATTTTAACCAGAGGAACACAAGAAGACATAGCAGCAAAGAAGTCATCTTACAATGACAAAATGTTTTTTCTCCAAATGTAGTAGAAACAGGAAGTCCAGTGATCCCATGTCCAACTGTGATGTAATTCATATTCACATCTTTCTCAACTAAATTAAGAACAAAATGTGTCTTTTCACTCAACTTACCCACTTTTCTTGGCAGATTCCCTTCCTGAACCCCATATTTTGAGAAGGAGCTAAGGCAGAACATGACCTGCAATCTTTCAAACACACTGAGTGTTAGGAGTCCCACAACTGTCATGTCTCTTTTGAGTGGTCTTCTGGAGTTCTGAAACTAAATATTACATAATTGCTCTGCAGAAGCCTGTTTTGCTCATTTTTAGTGTTAAATACAGTTCATTCACTGGTCATGTTACATTCTAAGGCTGAGGAAGGCTTGATGCAAAGCACACCCTAAACATTATTGAGGCCAAGAGTATAACACACTCAATCCTTCCAATTAGACACTAAATCTTAGATTTGGCATGTCACGTTGCCTTCATAAGTGGTCCAGATCCACACATCAATTATCAGAACACTGGTGATGATAGCAACTAGAGTTTGCCACAGAGTCCAGCTTTTGCTTATTCTTCTATATTATATTCCCAGATGGATGTATAAAGCCCTGGAGAAAACCAGATCAGCTGTCTCTACTTACCTGCTTGCCTGGACAGTTCAAGAAAATGTGTAGATGCTCTACTCCCAGGTTTTCCCTGCTGTGAATCATTCTGTGGTACTAGAGTTAGGACTGCTGGCTTAAAAATACTCTCTCTTCTCTTGGAAGAATATCTATGCAAATACCCATGCCTGCTACAACTTGACATCCCTCTCCTGTGCTCCATTTTTTATTGAATAAATTAAGAATAAATAAATGAATGAATTACTAATATATGAGTTTGAGTTTGGAGAAAGTTTGAGACATGGTATGGAAGCAGATGTGCTTTTTTATTTAATGCACAGAGAAAAATGGATATTACAAGAGACTGTACGTTCCTTGGTTTACTCAATATATGATTTCATGTAAGTTTTGGTCTATCCTTCACCCCACAGGGTTCCCAATACACCCCCATTTGCCCTTTTCTTTTATCCCAAGTCACAAAAATTGTAAACCATATAACAAACACCACAAACAAGACTTCTTTGAAATTATTCAAACTCAATAGAAAATGATTTGAAGGAAAAATTAAAGAGAACTATAAGGCCAAAAGGAAAATTATAACTGCGTCTTCTCTCTGATTCAGGTCTAAAGCCGGTGGAGCTGTAAATGGGTTTATTATAGAACTTTTACCCAGCCCAGGACACATGAAAACTGAGCTCTGGTACCCACCACTCATTTATATGAGACATAAACTATGAGAAATGTTAAAGAACTACAGGGTGATTTGGAGTGTGTTTGTGTGTTTTAATGGCTTGGGGCATGTATCAGTTGGTTTTTGCTGTGGTGTGAGAAATCATGCCCACACATAATGTTTTAAACAACAGTGAGCTACTTACTAATCTCTGGGTCAGCTGTGCAGTTTGCTGATCTGAGCCAAACTTGGCTGATCTTAGCTGGGTTTGCTCATACGTTTGCAGCCAGCTTGGAGGACGGGGGCCAAGGGGCGGGGAGCAGCTAAGGGCTGTGTGGTCTGTAATGGCCTCAGCTGAGTCAGTTGGGAAAACTGGGGACTCTCTTCACATGTCTATCATCATCCAGCAGGCTAGTGTGAACCTGTGCATGTTGCAGCAGCAGGATTCCAAGACAGAGTGGAAGTATGCAAGGCTTCTTAAAAGCTCCAGCTTGGAACTGCCACCTCTTCACTTCTGCCACTTTCTATTAGCCAAAACAAGTTGAGACCAGCCCTAATTCAAGGAGAGGGGAAGGAGATTCAGCATCCTGATAGGGATGAGCTGCAAAGTCACTTTAGAGAGGAACATGAATGAAAGCAGGAACAAAGGATTATGACCACTTTTGCAATCTACTACAGGGCAAAGTAGAATCATCCTATTAAGTCCTTGTGTTTTTGTTCTCAGCCATGTAACTGCATCAAGACTTTATTCTTATTATCCTTCCCCTTCTCCCTCAAGATCCTCCCCGTCTCTTGACAAGTAAGAGTCCAAGAGTAAAGGCAATTCAGGTACGTGGACAGGAGCAAAAACACAAGGACTTAATAGCGTGTTTCTATTTTGTTTTTCCCTGTGGTGGATTGCAAAAGTGGTCATAATCCTCTCTCTTCTCCTTCTGCTAGGGTAGAGGAAATTAGCAGCTATGCTGCTTAGGGCTCTAATCTGTTCTTGAAGTGAGAAACTCTTCTCATTGCATCTAAGTGTCAAAGTGTATCTCAGAAACAAGACCACCCTCCTCCTGTGCCTATCTGTCTACAGCCATCTCTCCACGATGGTGGTAGGTGGTACAATGCAAGCCTGAAAGAGGATTGCACATCGGTTTCTATTTGACTTTCATTATACCAGCAAGAACTTGAGGGCTTTCTTGGGATATTTTTTTTAAGCATCGAATCTTACCTGTCATTCTCAACCCACATGAAATCATTCCTATAGAGGGAAACTCTTTGCTGAAATTTATGGCTTTTATGCTTTCATTCTCCCCCAAATCAAGGAATAAACATCAGGGTGGTCCTGTGGATCCGAGGATGAGCCATATTATAATATTTATCAGCTGACTGATGCCTACAGTCCAGTATCCAAATGACCAGATTTTCACTTTCACTAAAGCACCTCCTTTATAGCCATAGGACGTTTCAAGATGGTGCTGCTTTCTGAGCTTCACTCGCAGGAAGAGAATAAAAAGGCACCTAAGGTTCTTCACAAAAACTGTGCCATGCCCATTCCATCAGCTCTTCCAATGATACTCTATTCCAATTTCAGAGAAGCATAAGACCTGATGAGACCTTGAACTTCAGTAGAAATTTCATGGCTCCTATTGTCCCCATGACACTCTAGCAGGCAGTCTGTTCATGACTTTGTTACTTTATCTCTATAATACATACCCAGCTCTATATTATTCACCCAGGAAAGGGCTAACCCAAGGAGAACAGCCCTTTGAAAGCCACAGAATGACGAATGGAAAGTAAGTCTACAATGTCTCTTTGTTTCGTAGGTCCAGTGTGGAACCCCGTCAGCTCACCGTGTGGAATACTTCCGATCCAAGTCATGACCACCGACGAAAATACATGTTTAGTGATGAGGGAGGACAAAATCAGCTGGGCATCCGGACCCTCCAGGACATCCCCCTCCCTCCAAGGAGAAGAGAGATCCCTGCCTCGCTGACCACCAACGGGAAAGCAGATTCCCTAAACATATCTCGGAACTCCGTGATGCAGGAACTCTCAGAGCTCGAGAAGCAGATTCAGGTGATCCGTCAGGAGCTGCAGCTGGCTGTGAGCAGGAAAACGGAGCTGGAAGAGTATCAAAGGATAAATCGGACTTGTGAGTCCTAGGTAATCAAAATGCTCCCCTTTCTCAGTTCCTGGCATTCTTCTGAGCCCTTGAGACACTTTGTAATGTCCTTTTGTAACTACTGACAGAGGTGTGGGGAAGCTGAGGTCTAGGTCTTCTTAAAGGTCAAGTCTGCTCTCCCTCACCTAAAAATGCAACAGCGGCTCTTCCCAAGCTCACTCCCTAGGTCTCCAAGGTAGGAATCTTTTTCACAGAAAGAATCTTAAATTATCCAGGAGTAAACACCATGTAACAGATAAGTGAATTAAGGCAAGCTGAGCTCCTGTTAACCTTTCACCAGGTGCCACAATAATACTTCTGGTTTTTAGTCCTTTCTCTGTACTATCAACAACAAGAGATAAAATTCTATTCAAACATATATCTTACTGGGTTGTTGGTTTTAATCTTAATATAGAACAAGATTGTACAGAGTTGTAGCTTTTGATACAACTCCCCAATCTAGATTTGCTTCTACATTCTGAATGGGGAGTGGGGTAAGAGTAGGGTACCCCCCACTTGAAGGGATACTTAACCGAACTCATTAGTATCACAGCAGGCTAAGGATTGATTGAATAAGGTGAGAGCCACATCTTTGAGAAGGTTCTGTATCTCTGATTCCATTCTGACTAATATTAGTAGGAACATGTTTACATGCCACTATGAAAGGGGACAGGGAGGTGGTGAGTGGGAACAGTGGGCAGGCAGAAGAGACACTAAAAATGTACACCATGCTTTTACAACAAAAGCTCTTGGGCCAGAAAGGCAATTGGCTACAGAATGAATAGGACTGTACTTGTAATTTAACTAAGCATCTCCACTATAGTGTGTGCCTTTTATAAAAGAAAAGAAAGAGAGGAAAGCAAAGCAAGGTTGTGGCCTTAGGATGAACTTTGAATATCGCTGCTCGTTACCTATAACAGGATATGTGAGCTGGCACTGCGGGTTAAGTGAAATGTTCTGCACATGACATACTGGGCCATTTTCAGATCAGCAGTCACCTATCTCTTAGGTAGGAATCCCAAAAGTGAACTTTGAGCCTGTGAGCATCACAAGCTTTAACATTCAGGCATCTGCCTGTGCTCTGCATATCTCTATAGGATAATTACCAAGTCAATTTCCCATCTTTATACCCAGTCATCTCTGAAAAGCTATGAACAGGTTTTGATCTCTCTGACTATCCTCCAGGCCCCATCTAATGCCAAAAGACTGATATAAGTAATCCAGCATCTCCTCTGCCTGGGCATCTCCTGCCCAGCATGCAACTGCTTGGGCATGCAGAAAGAGAAAGGAATATGGAGACTCTAGAACTTCAGACCTAAATGTTAGTGTAGATGAGACTCATCTAGGGAATTCATCAGAATGTTGATTGCCAGGACCCCTCCCCCAAGATTATGGGGGTCGGTCTGAAGGTGAGCTCAGAAACATAGTGTTAACCAACACTCCCAGGTGACTGACACAAGTGGTCCCAAAATTACTCTCTGAGAAATACTGTTCCAGAAGTTTGGCTGCCCCCAGGCATGGGGAGAAATGAGCTTCCTTTTTTTTTTTAACTTCAGCACACATTTGCTGATTCACCTCCCACACCCCCGCCCCCACCCCAGGGCACCATTTAGGAATAGACTTCTTTATCAATTACTTGCTTTATCTTCTCAGCACTCATTGCTCCATCTCAATCCATTGGAAAGCCTACAGTGAGGTCACAGTGCTGTGGGAAGCACTGTGCTTTATAGCAGCTGCAGATAACTGGAAAAATGTCTCAATCACAAAACTTCTCCCCCCTACTTTTGGGTGCAATGTCTGCATTTCCACCAAGAGCTACCTAGTCTCCCAGGGAAATATAACACCTTAAGTTCTAATTAGATAACACTGGCAATTAGTTAATTGGCTGAGAAAACCCTGGAGTGGAGGCAGACTCAGAGATACTGATAATGGAGGTGGAAGTGCTCCAAAGTTAGACTTCATCAACCTCACAGATGGAACAGTTCTACAATGAGGGAACAGGTGAGTCCTGAAAACAGAAAAGGACAATTCTGCTTTGAAATGCCCTATTCCCCTAGTTCCCACCCCAGGCCCAGAAGTAGGTTTGCAGCTGCCTTTGAAAGATGATGTCCCTTAGCCTTCCCCTCCACACCCCCCACCCCATCTGCAACAGTTAAGGATGCTGCAGAGACTCTGCCACGATGCTCTGCCCACAGTTCCCACCCCAGGCCCAGAAGTAGGTTTGCAGCTGCCTTTGAAAGATGATGTCCCTTAGCCTTCCCCTCCACACCCCCCCACCCCATCTGCAACAGTTAAGGATGCTGCAGAGACTCTGCCACGATGCTCTGCCCACCCCCAATCCTCTGCGCAGCCTGGAAGGCTGATGTACAGGTGTACCTCAATTCACATAACAGCCATGCTCCTAACATTGTACATGGACATTTTTATAACTCAACTCATATTCTGACTGTACTTGAGAAGCCGGCTATTTAAGGGAACCCAGAGGTGAATTCTTTTGTAAAGTAAAGAACCCTTTTGTAATGCAATTAATTATCCCTTCACGTATCTGTTTTGTAAATTTGGATTTTTGTATATCGGGTTTACCTAAAGCTTCTTTACTGAGGCATTCTGAGCAGTGGTGATCACATGCCAGACCACCCTGCCTATCCACAAAGTAGATGACCAATGCACGCTCAAGTGTCTTCTGAAGAAACTAACTACCTGCCACAATCATGGCCAGGCTGCAGCAAGAAGCAGCAAAGGCTGCAAGCAGGCTTACTACACTGTCAACATTGCTTGGAATGCCTCCTTCTTCTGAATAAAGAAAAACCATAATTGCTTGTGGTGAAATGAAGCAGTCTTCATGTTAAATAACAATGGTTATTTTTATTGGTAGTAATTGAACAGTGATTTGCAATTTTGTGAAACAGTGTGTTGTGTTTTATAAAAAGATTTCATGAATGTTGGGTCCTTTAAAACCGCCTTTCTGTTCTGCTCCACCTCTGTTCTCTCAACTACCCTCAGGCTCAAAAAACACAAAGATCGTAAGCCTTCAGGTAGAGGGTGGTATTTTGGTAAAGAAGAAAGGGACAAGGGTTGCTACCTTGCCTCCTCTCATGGGTTCCCATTTCATGAGATCAGGAAGGCCACCATTCTCTTCCAAGCTCTGGTGCTGGGAAACCTGGAACATGACAAACTGTGCCACAAGCCCCGAGCCACTTTCCAAAGGGAAATTCCTGGCACAGAAAGCACACAGTAAGGCTTGACTGGACGAGTGGAATAGAAATGGCTACCTGGTTTGTGTAAATAAGAATAATAAGGGCCCCAGAGTGTGTATGCCTTAAGGTAGAGGAGAGAGGGGATCCCTCCAACAATTAAAAACAAGTTGGAAGAATGACTGGGACAGCCAATTGAGGCAGCCACAGGGTCCCAGTCAGTTGAGGTTTTTAATGTGCCTGGAGGTGACTCTCCATTATCCATGAATCTTGCTATTGCACAAACCCTATAAGGAGTTGCTGCTTCCCTTCCAGCAGAGAAGTGGCAAGTGGAACTAGGGCCAAGCAGAACAGAGCTATGCCATCTAGGTAATAGACTTTTAGTGTTGCTGCTGGATCTATTAGAGCCTTGGAGCAAGTTAAGCAGTTCCTTGGTGTGGATAAAGAATGAAGGGGAAAGATACTTTTTTAGAGCCTCTTTTCCTCCAATTCATATTGATAGGCAAACCAGAAAATCCAACCAATATTCAGAAGAAATTGCTTTCTAGTCATTCAAACCACTTCACTACACTGCTTATTCTTTTCTTCACCCACCTGAGCCATCCATCTAATCCAGGATTCCTTCACTCTTTTTCCAGTTTAGTTACTAATCATTTTATGAAAATGATGTACTTAAAAGTATTTTCTTAAAGTTTGTGAAGAGTATTTGCATTGTGTCTTCATTTTAATGTGTCTGCAATCGCTCCACTCCAGGAAGAACTGAAATGCTGTCTTGTGAGCATGAAGTGAACTAGCTGTTTTGCTCCAGCCACTTTTCTTGTACAACCATGTGGATGGACTGAATGTCCTCAGGTCTTTTCCATCTTCAGTTTCTATGACTGTGGAATAAATGTTCAGATAGAAACTTCATTTTCTATGTGATTTCTTACTAATGTGCTGCTGGCATTTTCTTTGGGGATTCAAATGTTGACATACTACTCCCTCCTAACAGGAGACCTACTAATGCTATGATTTATGCTTGTTTCTTTGGTATAGTCTAGAAAAGTGGCACAAGATATGCTGAGAAAACTCAGAGCCCACGTGTTGGGAAAATAGAATAGTTTGGTCAGGGCCCTCGCCTCGGGTCTGGTTGGGTGTGATTTTAGCACATTCTTTGTAAGCAAATTGTGTGTGTGTATGTGTGTGTGTGTGTGTGTGTGTGGAGTTACTGCACATGTGCACCCCCCCCCCCTTTTAGTTTTGTTGCTATTCTTGTGTTCTTTAGAGTGACAGAGAGAGAGAGTTTTAGTGAAGCAGGTGAGTGGGCATCTGCCTTGGGTGTCCACCCAGCACAGCCATGCTTTCCAACCAATGGCTTCCAAGGACCTTTTGGCCAGTAGAGAGTTTTAGTGAAGCAGGTGAGTGGGCATCTGCCTCGGGTGTCCACCCAGCACAGCCATGCTTTCCAACCAATGGCTTCCAAGGACCTTTTGGCCAGTTACCTATCTCATAGACCTTCATGAAGGGGTCTGGGGACCCAGCCTGGCATGTGTGGGGTCTGGTGACCCAGCCTGGCATATGAAGGATTTGTGACCCAGTCTGGACAACAGGCTTGAGAAGTCTGTGAGCTCCAGACCCAGCCCTAGCTTGACAATTGGCCAAGTTGGGGCAGGATTACCGGCAGGTAAAAGAGCCCAACAACTGGCATGGTTGAGTAGCTTTACAACTGGGGTCATGAACAGGATTAAGAGTGCTACAGTTGGTGATGTCGACAGGATTCTGACATTAGCTCAAGCCATGCAGGTAAAGTAGCGCCACCACAGTAGCCAGACAATTGGCATAGTCGGCAGGATTCTGAGCAGGTACAGGAGCCGAAAGCCCTTGGAAGAAGGAGGAAATGTGGCTATCCTTGAGCATGTGGTGTCCGGTGGCCATTTTTCTGCTGACTGGAGCCTGGCTATTGCTCACTATGCTGCAAACTGATCCAAGATTTGTGGCAGAAAGCAGAGTCGTTGGAAGCACGGATAAATGTCCTGGAGGACGAGGTGCAGTGACTGGCCACTCCTGCCTCTCACACCAGGGAAGACAACCAACCCAGTGGTGAGCTGGGGAAAACCACGCGTCTCCAGGCATAACCTGTTGTGCACGAGAAATTGAGACAGTAAAGCAGCAGAAACAGGGAGAGCCCCTGGTGGCTGCAACTATGAGACCTAGGGATAGATGGTGTAACATGCTTTTAGAGACTATGTAGTCAACACACGTTGTGTTTGTCTGAAGACAAAAGGCTCAGAGGGTGCCACTTAAACCCGATGGCCAGCCGGGTGCTGTAAAACCCAAGAAAAGAGTGCCACATGCAGATGGGTAGATGACCTGGGGACAGGTGCCCCTGCAGAATTTCAAGTATGTTTTCACCTTGTGAAAAGGTAGAAAAGTTAGTCTCTGTTATTATGCACCTGTCTTAGTGGAAGTGGTTAGGAAAGAGCTGTAGATATGCACAAGGGCAAGGCAACCACTCCTTGATGGACTGGGAAAATGCAGCTGTTTGAACTGTGGGAGAACGCTGCAAAAACTGCCTGAGACTGAGTGAGTAGCCAGTGTAAGCTGAGCTGACTGAAGTAATTCAAAAGCCAGAATTTAAAAGGGAAGTGGACTATAAAGTTTTGGAAACCTTGCAGCTTAGCCATGCAGTAAAAAAGTGGAGAGCAGGAGAAAAACGCAAGCGTGAAGCAGACAAACTGTTTGCTAAAGACATTATCTTGGTGATGAGGCAGTCAGATGCTAATAACCAGGACAATGGGGAAAATGTCCTAAAGGCATCTGAGAAGTCTGGATGGGTGCCCCATCCATCACAGGTCCTGAGGGCATTTGAGAAGTTTGGGAGAGCACCCCTCCCATCCTAGGAGAACTGAGTTTCTCTGGAGGGCAGACCTGAGGTATCATTGCCCTCAGCAAACTACTCCCTGTATCCCAGCTGCTCTGGCGGGAGCGATCCTGCCTCAGCACTTCTGAAGAGCAAAAGCCAAAAACCTTGGTGGCGTTCACATTGTGTTAAGTTTGCAGGCCAGCAGTATGTGAGAGCAGTGGAGGTGTGGCAGCCTCCACCCAGATCCCGGAAGAGTATGAAAAAGTTGGGGGACTCAGGCAGAGACCTGCTGCAGGGGTGGAACTGCTGCAGAGGTCATCTATGGAGCAATGTGGAGCAGAAATGTGGGGTCAGAGCCCCCACAGAGAACCCCCACTGAGGAAATGTCTAGTGGAGCCAGGATGGCAAGACTGTCACTAGGAGCCCAGAATTGTGGGGCTGCTGGCATCATGCAGCACCAGCCTGGAAAAGCTGCAGGCACCAGGCAGCTCAATGTTCTACACCTAGCAGAGCTGTAGGAGCAAGGTTGCCCAGCGCTTTAGGGGTCCAGGTGCCCCAGTGTGCTTAACATTTGCCATTTGGGTTCTGGATTTGTTTGGGGACTGTTTTTCCTTTCTATTCCTCCCTTCTGGAATGGGAATGTGTACCCAGTGTCTGTCTCACTGTACCTTGGAAGTAGATAAACTTGTTTTTGACTCTTTACAGTTTCACACCTTTAGTCTCAGAGGAGTCCTTGGACTTTGGACTTTTGAGTTGGTGCTGCAAATCACTACTAAAGATAAGCTTTTGAAGCCAGGATATGGCAAGAATGGAAATATTCTCTTACGGGCCCCAACCTGTTTGCAATGGGGACAGACAGTACAATGGGAATGGCCTTGGAGAAAAAAAGCCCCCCATATATGCTGGGTAGATTTAATGGGGCCTTGGGGAAAAGGATTAGAGGAAGGCTTGCAAGTTTCACCTTGGGTGACAAGTACCTGGCCTCCTCAAATAAAGGTGACATGGCCTGGAACAGATGAGCACTCTATTCCAAAAGGCACATTTGTATTATCATTATGGCCAATTATGAGTTCCCCTATACTGTTACATGTAGAACCTACAGATCCAACAGTGTTAGCAGATAAAGTATGGTA